ATACAGGGTGGGCCATCTATTGGTACGTTTTTAAAAATGCGATCAAATGAGCATACATTGATATTTTTTATTAATTTTTTTTTTGTTGTGAAGCTAAAATTCAAAAACGTACCAATAGATGGCCCACCCTTTATATATATATATATAGAGAGAGAGAGAGACACACACACACACACGCACGCACACGCGCACACGTACACGCACGCACGCAAATGATATAAACCATCTAATTTGTAATATATAGTAGGTTGTTTCATTTTAAGTGATATGGTCGATTATCTCACGAATCAATGATTTTATTGAAAAATTTTTTGAACGGAAGTTGCGTGGCTTAAAGGGGGACACATGATGGAAATGTGGACTTGACTTTAAATGACCTTGTTAAAATCAGGTCATCAATGGTTTTTTAAATAGAAACCCTATTTTTTATTACATATTCTTGTAACTTGTCTCGAGAGCTTTCCAAAACACTATAATAAAGTTACGTTTCATTGAGTACTTTCAGAGTTATGGAACTTGAAAGTTACAGTACTGCCGGCGTTATCCATGTACGCATGCGCATGTGAACGGGATTCTTACGCGCGCGCGTCTCCGCGATCTATTCACACTGCTTGAAATACGCGCACAGAATTGAGTCTAATCCTTCCCAATTGAACGATTCAACTTTCCTCTTTTTTTCGTACAGCTTTGTTTTTCAATTTTTTTTACATTAGTGAACTTTTTCAATGCTTTTTTCAAAATAGCCGCTTACAGTTCAAATAAAATCATATTTAACATATTAGATATAGAACCTTTATACAATAAAAGATTAATATCTGAAATGGTACACATTAAAAACAGAAATATGGAATAGACAAAATGACACGGAATCTTTGCCCGAAGTGTATTCTAACATTATACATTCTCTTTCTTCTTCCTAATATCTTCTTTCCTTCTCCCCCCCCCTTTTTGCCGTTTTCTGTTGTCGATTAGTGTTTTTTTTTTCAATATTGCATTATTCGACATCGTGGAAATCAGATGTTTGTTATTCTTGCAAATTTGCTTCAATTAAAAATCAATGTGCGATATGGATTACCATCTACCTGCGTTTTCTCTTTTTTTTATTAATGGACTCTCACTTTTACCGATATTGACAAGGTATATGATTATATTATATATATTATTAATTAGCATGTATCAAGTATTAATGTTTTGTTCACGGTCACTTTTCTAGAATATTGTTTTTCTGACTACTTTGAATTCTGATGTAACTGACTCGCACTACACGATATGAAGAATGTAATACTATAGATATTTTTATAGCAATGTTTGAATATTACCGCAACATTGAAAATGACTCGAGTGGAGTCAAAACATTTGTTCGTCGTTTTGTAATTATTGTATTATATAAATTTTATCATTGAATTTAAATTAAAGTTTGTTACTACATTACTGGCTCTTTGCCCTTCTTTTGCATATATTGTCAAATGAAATTGTTGATATTATTTTTGTGGTTGGTGAAACTGGACAAAATTATTAGAGCAGAAAGATTGTATCGTAATAGATATCCATTTAGACGACATTCAAATGTAATGCATATAGGAATTTTATTACAAGAGATATCGAATTGATCTTGCCTTAATTGGCCGGATCAGTTCCGATCTTGCCTTATAACTTAACAAGTACTTAATGAAAAATAACTTTATTATAGTATTTTGGAAAGCTCTCGAGATAAGTTACAAAAATATGTAATAAAAAATAAGGGTTTCTGTTTAAAAAAACATTAATGATCCTGATTTTGACAAGTTCACTCAAGATCAAGTCCATATTTCCATCATGTGTTCCCCTTTAAGCCATGCAACTTCCGAAGAATTTTTCAATAAAATCATCGATTTGCGAGATAATCCATATCACTTAAAATAAAATGTATACAACAAAATATTAAATTTAATATATATATATATAAAATAAAAATTTCATTATAATATTGAATCGGCGGAAAAGTTTCTTCGTATTTAGAAAATTTTTTTGCAAGTTTTTCATTTGTTGCAAAATTATCGTTACAATTATATCATTCGCTAGAGCAAAGTTTCAGCTTTAAGAATCTGTTTTTTAAATTATGGTATGATGATTTTTATCGGAGTTATGAGCAATCAAAGTCAGAATGCTCCTTTACTTAACTCGCGAATAACTTAGGAACAAAAAATCATAGGAACATTTTTAAAAAATAATTTTATAAGGAAAGCTTAAAGCTTTCAGGATAGGTTGTCAAAAATTTTCGTACATTTTTTTTGAGCACGTGAGAAACCTCCAAAGAGAAAAGAAAATTGTTCATCTTTTTCAAAATAAATGGCGAAAAAGAGTCGTCGCATAATATATATAATTAAAGATAACAGTCAAAGATACATAAAATAAAATAAAAAGTACAACGGCGTATATTAAAATATAAAACAAACAAGTTTCGGCTGCTGGATTGAGCCCTCCTCAGATGTAAAAAGAATATAATATAAAAGATATAAAAAGAACATAAAAGAATACAACAGAGAAAGATAATAATAAATCGATAACATTCAGTGACGCAACATTTTTAACGCGCGGAAATCAGCAAATGTGATGGATCTCGACGTAGCTTAATGTTGTATGTGCGATAGGGCAATCAAACCGATGTTAAGAGACATAGTCAAGTGCTGACTGAAAAACGGAAAAGGAAGGGAACTCATAAAAGACAAGTAAACTAAAAACTTTAAAACTTAAAATCAAAACACGCCGCAGATAAGAAGCCAAGTGCTCACTCACCAACGCATCCGAACAGGAAATGAAAATCGCCGCAATGCATGACAAGTGTGAAAATCCCTGACAATGATAGGGATGTAATCGTCGAAGTCAGACATGTCAACATCGCACATGACACCGACCGCTCGCTAAGACGGCACGCGACGCACTGAGAGAGGAGACGGGTCGACAGGATCGAAAGTCAGACTTTGTTTATTATCGGTAGATATGCCTTATTAAGACCCTCGGTGTCGGTCTGCAAATTGAGACTGTTCTTCTGTTTTTTAATATGTAGCATCTCCGAAATCAAGCGCTTTCTATACGAAGGTTCCTCGTCTAATATCAGAACATTGTCCCATTGAAAATCGTGATTGTGACTCAACCTATGATCGGTGATGACAGAGCGGGCAGATGTTTTGTGTCTAATATGATTACGATGTTCGGCAATCCTAGTTTTTAATTGTCTGCCCGTCTGTCCAACGTAAGAAGCGTCACAATCATTACACAGAATTTTATAAACAACGTTGCTTTTCGAAGTGCTGGGACAAGTATCCTTCTGGACTCTTATATGTATATTTGCCCATTTTGTTGGGGCTGCGGAAGGCCACCCTGATATCACTTTTGCTTTTATTCAAAGATCTAAGTTTCTCTGTATGAAGCGGAATGAAAGGTACCGTAAGCCA